GGCTCAAAGTGGACGATCCGGGTGTCGTTCTATTAGAGGTTTTACGGCAATTATACAAAAAATACGAAAATAGTAACAGAATATTCACAATTATGATTCCAGGATTTGATTGGTCCGGTGTAGCCATTACTCCTTGATCTCCTTGTTACTTGGCCAATAGTAGGGTCCGAATGGCTGCGAATCCACACGTGGAGTGATTGCCACGGCCCGTCTCCAAGTATGCAGTCTTCTGGTTGGTCCTCTGCATCCAAATGATGATTCCAGCAGCATAATCCTGGGCTCCACGGGTTGTCATCCAATGCATGTCGAAGTAGTTCGGTCCCTTCGGCCACGTCTTGTTCCACTGCCTCACCATTGCATTGATGCCATTCTCCAGCTTGTCCAGCGCCTCCTGAGTGGTGCAGAAACGTCTTTTCGCCTGAAAAATGTGAAAAAATTAGAGTTGGCTAGATTTGAAAGGGATATATGTGACTAGACTCATACAGAAACAAAAAATAAATAAAAATAAACTTACATGAAGTGCCAATTTGGTACTGGGCAGCTCTCACAAAAACGGACCATCCGATGGGTGCAGAAAATGGCAGAAGCTTCCTTCTTGACAATTTCCATCACCTCCAGGAGCAAATGAAACACAAATGCGCGTCTTCCTTTTTCCTTCCGCCTTGAATTTCGTCGTCAATTCGTGCTCTCCGTGGGCGAAACCGCATCTTGGACCCATATGACAGACTTTTCCAGACTGGTAATGTCGACAAATGCGAGACTTGAAGTTTCTTGGCTTCGATGCGTTTTCCTTGTCTTCAGCAGCCGGCGTGGCGCCGTAAACGGACGCATTGTAGAACCGGCAGGAAACCGTCGGCATATTGGAGATTTGAAGTTGAAAATAGACGAATATAGAAACTCTCGAGAAGAGAAGTTCGAATTCTTTTGTAACGAGAACCGGAAGAATATAATGACGGTTTCACGGACCATCCAATAAAGTGGGCGTGGCCTGAGAAGACACCGGGATACTGTCAATCATTGTTTCCCTGAAGAAATGAATCTTCCAGCTGCCACCTTCACCTATGCATGTGTGTAAGTATATTACTTCCAGAATGACCATGGGAAAGTGAAGACCGGACTTCAGTCATCCATTTCTTTGCACTGAAGATGGCTAGAAATGTGATTTTTGCCTCAAAATTTACTATAGTTTTATAGAATTCGAAATTGTTAATTTTCCCAAGTTCTTTATTAGTTCACTAGTTCAATAGATAGAACCCAATCCTTGTTCTCCACTTATTACTTATAACTTGACTTATATGTAGCAGCAATTTAAGAGGATTTTCAAACCTAACGCGGCGTTGGAGGAATTTTGTCATTCTGGACAAGTCAGTTCACAAAATTTGAGGACCGAATAATAGAAAACTCTGGAAAATTGCAAGTATATTTTCTGTTAAAATTCCTTATGTCTTCTTCTGCGAGTTTTAAGATTTCGTATTTTGATTGAATATGTCGCGGCAGCAGAGATTCTACTGCACGACCTCAAATCCAACAATACTAGAGCACATCTAGAACGACACAAATAGTCATAAACACAATTCTCCAACTATTTAACGCTACATATTTGGCGTGATCACTTCCCTTATCACCATATCAGATCTGGAGCATAATCGTGGATATGCTGAGGAAATGCTATAAAAGGAAGCAGAATCTGAGACTTCTACCAAGGATCTCCAATCATTGGATACACTGATGCCGGATCCCAACTGCTGATGCTCGCGGATGAGCCAATCGACCGATGGTACAAATGGTGCACACCTCTCTTCTCCAAATCAATGGAAACCCTTGTCGCTGGTAGTCGTCTCTCGGCAAACTCCCCAAATACAGAAGCTTTAAAGATCCTAAATCAGATTCCTCACTCTGTAATTAATCAGTTGTTGAATAATTAATGTTCCTAGCCTTGTATTTCTGTCTCCGACACAGGGCTCACCACCTGTTGTGCCGGAACAGAATACAGTTGATTTAAATTTTAATTATGTATTTTTTTTCAAATTACAAAATCAATAATAATAATAATAATAATAATGAATAAATAGAATTACAGAAATTATACAAAGTATACAAATTATACAAAGAAAAATACAAAAAAATAATTACAGAATGTTCAGAATTACAATTCCAGGATTCAATTTGCCTTCCTTGGTACTTGGCTAGCAGAAGTGTCCTGATGGCTGCAAATCCAAATGTCGAATGGTTCCCTCTGCCGGTTTCCAGCCAGCACGCCTTCTGATTGTTGACCTTCATGCAGACGACGGTGTCCTCCACATACTTCTCGGCTCCTTTGGTGGTCATTGCATGTAGATCGAAATAGAATGGTCCCTCTGGCCATTTTTGGTTCCACAGACGTACAATCTGATTGATAACGTCCTCCAGGCCGTCCGACTCCTCTTGTGTGCTGCAGAAGCGGCGTTTGGACTGGAAACTTAAAACGTTTAGATTTTTGTATAAATTTAAGATGGCTTGCCCGCCAAGATGCCCGCCAAGAAAGGACACCCGAGGAAGAAGAAAATATAAAGTTCAAAACTTACATGGATTGTCTGGATTGTGAAGTTGAACTGCTCCTTTTCAATTTGAAATTGCACTGCCGTGTTGAAGAGATGTCCGTCCGTTGGATGAAGGAAGTCGCAGCTCAGGCCATCTTTACAGTATCCGGAACCTCCTGGTGTGAATGACACGCAAATACGCGTCTTTCTCTTTTCAGCGGGCTTGTTCTTGGACATCAATTCGTGCTCTCCGTGGGCGAAACCGCATCTTGGACCCATTTGACAGACTTTGCCAGATTGGTAATGCCGACGCATCCGAGATTGGAAGTTGGTTGGCTTCAACATATTTTCCTCAGAAGCTAAGGTGGTGGCGCGTAAGCGGAATCATTGAAGAATTAGCAGGCAAAAGTCGACATATTGTAGATTTGAAGTGAATAAACAGTCGGAAATAGAAATTCTCGAGACGAGAAATCAGAAATCTATTGTAACAAGTACAGGGTAAGTATAATGACTGGCCTAAAAATCCTCAGGGATACTGTCAATCATTATTTCCCAGAAAAAATACAGTAATCTTCCAGCTGCCACCTTCCCCTATGCATGTCTTAAATATTATACTGTTTCCGGAATGATCATGGGAAAACGGGACCAAAAAATTCCTGGAAGTTTATTGAAGTTCATCAAATAGAAACACAAAACATATACAGATAATTATACAAAGTCAAATTTAACAAAGTCGGGATAATAATTACAAAAATAGAATAATATACAAAAAAAAGTACAAAAACATAGTTATAGAATGTTCAAAATTACGATTCCAGGATTGGATTTGTTCGGCGTTGCTATTTCCAGTTCACTCGCCTTTTATTCATGATGGCTATATGTTTTGGTAACCTCTATGGAATTATCTGAGAATTTTTGAAGAATTTGGACATTGTTAGACATTTTTTGCCTTTTTGGCCATCAAAAATCATCCTAAAACTATCTAGAACCCTTAGAAACCATTTAAAACTCATTTTTTAAACATTTTACAAAAAATTGTTCAGATGGCCAAGTGGAAGTTTTCATGAAATCTACGAATCTGAAGGTCACAGGTTCGAATCCCATGGGTGGCAATTTTTTTGGTTTTGTGTGTGGAGTTAGAATATTATAGTAGGAAGTCTAGAATGTTCGATTTTTCTGGAAAATCGGAAACTTTTTATTTTTATCCTAACTCTTGTAATTTTCAGACAAAAAATTTAAGATTTTTTGAAGATATCTATATTTTCAGCGTTGTAATATCATTTTCGAAGTCCATACAAAAAACAAAATAATTTGCCGCCGGTGGGGTTCGAACCTGCGACCTTCAGATCCATAGATTTCATGAAAAATCCCACTTGGCCATCTGGACACTTTCTTGAAAAATGCTCAAAAACTGATTTTTAGGGGTTTATAGAGGATTTTCCGGGGGTTTTTTGAGCATTTTTGATGTTTTCAAAGCCTGAAATCTCAAATTTCCATTCATAAAATCTCTTTTTTCAGTCTGTTTCTCCCGCTAGACTACGTATATTCCTTATCAAAAGAAGTATGGTGTGACAAATATAATCAGAAGTGTAGCTGGTCATTTTTATTCTGAAAAAAAGAGAACTACACACAACACTAGAGCTTAGAAAATGTATAAAAAGAGAATCTATGAATTGATGGAAATTGTGAAAATTCGAATGTTTTGATTTTCGAAAAAAAAAATTTTTTTTCCAAAAACTTTTCAAAAATCTCAACTTCAGGTAATTTCAAAAATGACCGTCAAAACTAGGACAAGTTTTGGCCAGAAATTGGCCAAAAATAGTCCCACGGACCTGGATTTAGATGTGGACCCCAAGGAATGCTCTGAAATTTTGGAAGAAAGTAAAAAAGTGAGTTTTGGGGGTTTTTGGGATTTTTGAAGTTTTTTCGAAATTTCAGATTCCCTACAAAATGGAAATTGTGTGGAGAAATGTTGCACTGTTTGTGGCTCTTCATTTTGCAGCACTCATCGGGCTATATGAGCTCATCTTTAATGCGAAATGGCCTACTGTGGGATTTGGTTAGTTTTTATTCTCGAATTTTCGGATTTTTAGAAAATCACTTTGAAAAAATGAAATTCGGTTACGATTTTCAGAATTTTCATGAAAGTTTCCGACAATCTCGACCTATTTTGGAAAACTTTGGTTTTCGGCCGCGGTCTAAATGGTCGAAAATTTGAAATTTACCAAAACTAGAAGAACCGTTCATTTTTAAGATCTTAGTTTCGTAGTTTTAGAGTTTGCATTCAATCAATCACATTTTGAACTCAAACTCGACCTATTTTGGACAAATTCCGTTTTCGACCGCGGTCGAAAGTGAAAGGTGACTGAAATAGGTAGAGTTTGGGCTCATAAAATGTGGTCAATATGATGCTCAAAATGTCAGAACTTTTATAAAAATTTCAAAACTACACGTTTGGAATCTTGAAAATTAATGATTTGGCTAGTTTTTGGCATTTTCAACCTTTCGACCGTTTCGACCGCAAATAAATATGAGCGAAAAAAGAAAAGAACAGCGGTTAATTTAAAATATTGACTGCGATGCTTGTTTTTGCAAGATAATTTCCGTCATTTTGATATTGACTCGTTTATATTGACCCAATATTGACTCGTTTTGGTTAGTTTCAATTTTCGGCCACTTCGACCGCCAAAGTGGTCGAAAACTCAAAATGATCCGAAATGAGTTGTGTTGAAGCTCAAAACTTTGGAAATTTAATGAAAAGTCTAAAAAACTAATTTTAAATCCTAAAAATTAATGATTTCGCTGTTTTTAACTAATTTCCATTACCGACCGCTCCGACCGCGGTCGAAAACAAAAATTGTCCGAATATGGTCAATATGGGGCTCAAAATGACGGAAATTTCGTGAAAAAACTGAAATGAGACATCATTTCCTGATCCGATGAACGCTTTTCGAAACTTATCAAATTTCAATTTTTACAGTATTCCTTCTCTACGTATTTGGCGGTTTTGGAATCACCGCCGGTGCTCATCGTCTGTGGTCTCACAAGTCCTACAAAGCTACAGTACTCATGAGAATCTTCTTGATGATTTGTAACAACATTGCTCTTCAAAATGACGTCATCGAGTGGGCCCGAGATCATAGGTGCCATCATAAATGGACGGATACGGATGCGGACCCACATAATACCAGAAGAGGGATCTTTTTCGCCCATATGGGGTGGTTATTGGTTCGAAAACATCCACAGGTCAAAATAATGGGAGTGAAATTGGATATGAGCGATTTGGAAGAGGATCCCGTGTTGGATTTCCAGAGAAGGTTTGGCTTAGCCCCCCCCCCCCCCCCCCTATTTTTTTAAAAATATCGAAATTCCAATTTTTACAGAAACTACATTCCTCTTGTCCTCCTCTTCTGTTTCATTCTACCTACAGTAATCCCTGTATTCTTTTGGAATGAGACCGTTTTCATCGCTTTTTACACTGCCGCCACCTTCCGTTACTGTTTCACCCTCCATGCGACATGGTGCATCAACAGTGCTGCTCATTAGTGAGTTAATTGGTTCTTAATTATCTTGAAAACTCAAAAGTGGGCTCTGAAAACCCCTTAAAAATCCTAAAAATCAATTTTTGAGCATGCTTCAAAAAAAGTGTCCAGATGGTCAAGTGGGATTTTTCATGAACTCTGTAAAATAGGTCGCAGGTTCGAATCCCACCAGTGGCAAATTTTTTTGTTTTCTGTGAGAAACTAGGAAATGATAATAGGAAGTTCAGAATGTTCGATTTTTCTGGAAATTTTCGATATTTTGTCTGAAAAACCTCCAAAACCGAAATCTTGCTAAAATCGATTATTTTCGAAATTTTTGAGTGGAAATTTAAGATTTCATGCTCTGGAAATATCAAAAATGCGCTTAAAAGACTATGAAAACCCCTAGAACTCTTGAAAAATCGCTTTTTGAGCATTTTTCAAAAAAAGTGTCCAGGTGGCCAAGTGGGATTTTTGATAAAATTTACCAATCTGAAGGTCGCAGGTTCAAATCCCACAGAGGCAATTTTTTTTTTGTTTTGTGTGTGGACCTTGAAAAAGGTGATAGAACCCTGGAAATGTAGATTTTTTGAGAAATCTAGGACTTTTTGCCTGAAAATTTCGAAATTTCTGAAAAAATCTTTTTTGGCGCCAAAATTTTCAGAATTTCCAGAAAATCTGAACTTATTGATTTTTCGTTATCATCTTCGAGGTTCTCACAAAAAACAAAAAAAAATGGCACGGGTGGGATTCGAACCTGTAACCTTCAGATCCGTAGATTTTATGAAAAATCCCACTCGGCCATCTTGACACTTTTTTGAAATTTGCTCTAAAAAGGAGTTTTTAGGCTATTTTCCGGGGTTTTAAAGCATTTTTAAAAGTTTTAAAGCCTAAAAATGAGTTTTAAACAAGGTTATGGACCTGTTAGATGCATTTTCTAGTAATATCTGCTTAAATAGCAATTCAAGACGAGTTTAGACTCATTTTTGGTATTTTTGAAAGCGGAAAAGTTGGTGAAAAATTTCAGCATCGGCTGGAAACCGTACGCCCATTCCATATCGTCCGTGGAGAACGTTTTGACCACAATTGTGGCCGTTGGAGAGGGCGGACACAATTTTCATCACACATTTCCCCAGGATTATCGTGCTTCAGAATACTCAATTAAGTATAATTGGACACGTGGACTAATTGATTTGGCCGCGGCGGTCGGCGCGGTCTACGACCGCAAAATCGTGGATGATTTGGTTATTAGAAGACAGGTGGAGAAGAATGGAAGTGAGATGCAGTGGGAGAATTCGAGAATGTGATTTTGGGATTTTTTGGAAGTTTTAAGATTTTCTAAAACTTGTTAAATAAAGAATTGGCATTTTTTCAGAAGTTAAATTTTTTTTTGAATTTTCAACTATTTTTTTCAAAAGTGGACTTATGATTTAAAGTTTTTTTTTTCAATTTTTTGGCGCTAAAGTTTTCAGACTTTCTAGAAAAATCGAAGATTCTAGGCTTTATAATAAAAAATTACCTTCAAAATTGAAAATACGGTTAAAAATGATTAAAAAATCATCTAAAACCCCATAGGTACCCCTAAAAATCAATTTTTAAAGCATATTTCAAAGAAGTGTCCAGATGGCCAAGTGGGATTTTCCATGAAATCCACCAGTCTGAAGGTCGCGGGTTCGAATCCCACCGACGACCACTTTTTTGTTTTGTGTGTGGACCACGAAAACGATGATGTAACCCTGGAAACTCTGATATTTTTGAAAATTCTGAAAAATTTTGGCTGAAAATTTCAAAAAATAAGAGAAAAATGAAAATTTTCAGATTTTCCAGAAAAACCAAAAATTCCAGGCTTTCTTATTTCACTTTCTAGGTCCACACAAAAAACAAAAATAAATTGCCACCGGTGGGGTTCGAACCCGCGGCCTTCAGATCCGTAGATTTCTTAAAAAATACCACTCGGCCATCTGGACACTTTTTTGAAAAATGCGCAAAAAACTGATTTTCAGTGGTTCTCAAGGGCTTTCATAGGGTTTCAAGCGCATTTTTGATGTTTTCAGAGGATAAAACCTCAAATTTTCACCTTAAAAACACATTTCTGAAAATTATGTTTTTTTTATGTTTTTTGAATTTTTCAGCCCGAAAAACAAAATTTTCCAGAAAAATCGAAAGTTCTAGACTTCCTAAGATCATTTTCTATCTCCACACAAAAAACAAAAGAATTTTCCACCCATGGGATTCGAACCCGCGACCTTCAGATCCGTAGATTTCATGAAAAATCCCACTAGACCATATGGACACTTTTTTGGAAAATGCTATTTTTTGGGGTTTTAGAACATTGTTGATGTTTTTAAAGCTTAAAAATTCAACTTTATTGAAAAAAAGGACAAAAAGGGGCAAAGCCGATCATTTCTTCATCGCAAAAAGTTCCTGAATCTTCTTGACATTCGCTGCCCACGTGGATTGCTCATATTGTCTCTGAATCTCCTCCTCTCCAATTTCCGGCGCCTTTATCACAGGAACCCTCGGCAAATCCCAATCTTCCGACGCTTGTTTTTGAAGTTTGGATTTTTTCGAATTTTCAGAATTTCCAGAACTATTTTCCGCCAATTTCCTCTCGCATCCATTCGCGTACCAACGGAGCGCACTTGCAACACATTGAGCCAGATTCTCGCCTTTCTCTCCTCGATCTTTCCCATATTGGAAATCCATCGGATCCGATTGATTCTCGATTTTTGCCAGATTTTTGAAAATTTGATAAAGGCGCCGAACGATTTCAAAAATTCGGTCCACAACCATTTTTGATTTCTTATGCTGATCCCGATCAATCGCTCGATCGATATCGATTTGACACTGTTGAATGATCCGGGCGGCATTTTCAAAATCTCCCGCCTGTTTTTCAGCCAATTTCAGACTTTCTGGATTTTCGAGTTTTTCAGAATTCTTGGCGACATTTTCGAAAACTTCCAGAGTCCTTTCCAGGAGCATCAAGTCGTTGTCGGAGGTTGCTGACATTTTTTGGGGAAATCTGAAAAAAAGAAAAATTGAAAAAATAAATTTTCTGAAATTTGATTTCTGAAAAGCCTGGAGAAAACCTCATCAGAAATGTCTGAAATTTTTTCAGATTCAAAACGTTCTGAGCTTGGTGAAATTTGGTTTTTTTCGAATTTTTTGTCGCCAATAATTTTGAAAATCCAAAAAATCGAAATTCACAAAAATGAATCATGTTCAGGCTCATTTTGAAGCTCTAGATGTTTAGAATTCAAAAATTATAATTTCTAACATATAAATTGAAATTCCCGATGAAAAATGCTTCAAAATGACTATAAAAACGGCGTACTTTGAGAAAATTGGAATGTTCAGCAAGGGGCGGGGTACTGTAACTTATCAATCATCAACTTTTAGAATTTGAATTTAACGAAACTGAGATTGTTGCGTTGAGAGCTTTGAAATGAGCCCAGGCACGACATATTTCTGGCAATAGTGATTTTCAGACTTTTTCAGGCCGAATTTGGCTGAAAATCTGGAATTTTTGAAATATAACGTATTTAGGCTCATTTTGAAGCTCTAAAAGTGCCTAATTCAGAACTTTTAGAAAAATTGAATTTGTTCAAAATTTGGACAAGTTATGTCTGTTTTGCCTATTTTTGCCCATTTTTGCCCATTTTAGCCCAAGACTCAAAATTTCCCGAAATCGGTCATGTTTGGGCTCATTTTGAAGTTTTAGATGTGTAAAATTATCAAATTATGATTTCTAACATATAAATTGGAATTCCCGATGAAAAATGCTTCAAAATGACTATAAACACGGCGTACTTTGAGAAAATTGAAATGTTCAGAAAGGGTGGGGTACTGTCACTCATCAAATATCAACTTTTATAATTTGAAATTTACGAAACTGAGATTGTTGCATTGAGAGCTTTGGAATGAGCCCAAACACGACATATTTCTGACAATTTTGATTTTCAGACTTTTTCAGGCCGAATTTGGCTGAAAATCTGGAATTTTTGAAATATAACGTGTTTAGGCTCATTTTGAAGCCTATAAAAGTGCCAAATTCAGAACTTTCAGAAAAATTGAATTTGTTCAAAATTTGGACAAGTTATGTCTATTTTTCCTATTTTTGCGCATTTTTGCCCATTTTAGCCCAAAACTCTAGATTTTCCAAAATGGGTCATGTTTAGGCTCATTTTGAAGCTCATGATGTGTTAAACTTGAAAATTACCATTTTGAAGTTCGAAAATTCAAAAATTCCATGAAAACTTGTCTAGCAATTCAGATGGTTGCTAATTTCTAAGGATATTTTCAAAATTAGGAAAAAAAACTCACTAAAATCCAGAATTTCCGTCAAAAATCCATTGAAATCGATCGCAAAGGAATAGCAGAGTGGACCAGAAAATGTGTGTGGTGCGCGTAATATGGACCAAAACAGAGGGCCAAGGACAGGTGCTAATGGTCCATCAACCCCCCCCCTCATTTGTCTGCGTCTCTCTCTCTCTCTCTCTCTCTCTCTCTCTCTCTCTCTCTCTCTCATTTCTCAGATTCTAATCGGCTGAGCAATGTGTAATTAAGGTGAGATTGGAGTCTAGCATCTGCCGGACCTCTCTCATTTCCTTTGAGTCCTACAATGATAGATTAGGCATTAGGATGTTTCAAGGCTCATAACTCTGCTCAAAATCAATATTTCAAATTGAACCAAACAGAAAGATACAGTACTTGAAAAGGGCTACAACATGACATACAACTCAATCATACTGTACTCATGGTTTTTTAGGTCTAGGTGATTAAAAAAGTATGGAAAAATCGTCCAGCTTAGGTTTCTTGGGGTCAAAAACTGCATGGCCCATAACTTTGCTCAAAATTGGAATTTTGAGCCGAGTTAAAAACTAAAATGTAGAATCTAAAAAGAGCTACAAAATGGTATACAATTCGAATACAATTAGTTTTTATTCTCTTGGATCAGGGGTCCTAAAACAGCAAACAGCAAACAACAAAGACGTTGGCTAGTGGTGGACCCCCAATGAAGAGGATTAGGGTCATTTTTGGTTCCTTTTGGGAAAAAGAGGACTTTTCTGAAATTTCCCACTGTGTAAAATAAATACAGTAATCCTTGAGAAAAAAAAACTGTCCAAAATGACTATAAACACGGCCTAGTTTGGAACATTGAAATTTTCAGAGGGGGCGGGCTACTGTAACTCCTCAAATATCGATTTGTGAGATTTGAAGTTTAGGAAACACAATTTGTTGCGTGGAGAGCTTCAAAATGAGCCCAAACACGATCCAATTCGGTAGAATCTGAAAATTTGAGATATGTGGCCCCAAAAATTTCGAAAATCCCCGAAAATCTGAATTTTCAGAATTTGGAGTTTTTTGTGTTATTTTTGACAGCATGTTTGATTTTGAGACGTTTTGAGTTTCAGAATGAGCCCTAGCACGACTTATTTGCCGAAATTTGGTTTTTTGGATTTTTGGCGCCAAAATTTTTTAAAAAATCCAAAAAATCTTATTTTTCAGAAATGGGTCATGTTTAGGCTCATTTTGAAGCTTTAGATGTGTAGAATTAGCAAATTATGATTTCTAACATATAAATTGGAATTCCCGATGAAAAATGCTTCAAAATGACTATAAAAACGGCGTACTTTGAGAAAATTGGAATGTTCAGCAAGGGGCGGGGTACTGTAACTTATCAATCATCAACTTTTAGAATTTGAATTTAACGAAACTGAGATTGTTGCGTTGAGAGCTTTGAAATGAGCCCAGGCACGACATATTTCTGGCAATAGTGATTTTCAGACTTTTTCAGGCCGAATTTGGCTGAAAATCTGGAATTTTTGAAATATAACGTATTTAGGCTCATTTTGAAGCTCTAAAAGTGCCTAATTCAGAACTTTTAGAAAAATTGAATTTGTTCAAAATTTGGACAAGTTATGTCTGTTTTGCCTATTTTTGCCCATTTTTGCCCATTTTAGCCCAAGACTCAAAATTTCCCGAAATCGGTCATGTTTGGGCTCATTTTGAAGTTTTAGATGTGTAAAATTATCAAATTATGATTTCTAACATATAAATTGGAATTCCCGATGAAAAATGCTTCAAAATGACTATAAACACGGCGTACTTTGAGAAAATTGAAATGTTCAGAAAGGGTGGGGTACTGTCACTCATCAAATATCAACTTTTATAATTTGAAATTTACGAAACTGAGATTGTTGCATTGAGAGCTTTGGAATGAGCCCAAACACGACATATTTCTGACAATTTTGATTTTCAGACTTTTTCAGGCCGAATTTCAGCCTAAAAATGGAAAATTTTGAAAAATTGAGTTTGCCTCAAACTTGCCCAAGTTTGAGAATCATTTATTTAAGAAAATCAAGAGATTTTGGGGGAAAACAACGGTTTTTGGCTCAAAAATGACCGCGAAATATAAAAAAGAAAGTAATTTTGAATTCAGAAATTTCTAGAATTTCCGGGACTTGAATGGCAGGATTCGTTGACATGTTTCATGAAAAAATAGGCATTTTCGCAGTTTTCAGAGCAAATTGAGCATTGAAATGGAGCATTTTTGGTGTGAAATAGGCGGTGGAGCACGAAAATTGTCTCATCGGTGTAGGAAATTTGGCAGTCGAGGCATGGCTGAAAATTTCAGATTTTTTGAATTTTTTGTTTTTTGGAATTTTGGGAATATTTTTAATTCCGGATTTTCTGAATTTCTGAATTTCTGAATTTCTGAATTTCTGAATTTCTGAATTTCTGAATTTCAGAATTTCTGAATTTATGAATTTTTGAATTTCTGAATTTCTGAATTTCTGAATTTCTGAATTTCTGAATTTCTGAATTTCTGAATTTCTGAATTTTTGAATTTCTGAATTTCTGAATTTCTGAATTCTGAATTTTAAAGTTTTTGAAAGTTTTGGAATTTCATAATTTGTTTCTCACCCAGACTTCTTGATTGCTCATCCTTAAATTTTCTGATATTTCAAAGCTTTTGAATTCCACTTCTGGACATTTATCAGTATTTTCAGATTTTTCAGAATCTTCGAAAGCCTGAAGTTTGCAATTTTGTGAAAAATTTTTGTTTTAATACCTCGATCTCAAAATCCATCGGGGGCTCTGGAGAAGCAGATATTTCTGGAATCTGAAAGTCTCAACATCATAAAAACATTCTTTTTTTTCCCAAAAATCACACAATTACCTCCATAGGGCTTGCTGGAGCTTCTGAAGACGAACTGAAGCATCCGAAACTCTGAAACTTCAATAAATTAAAATTTTCTGAAATTTGAAAAAAAAATAAATATTTTCCAAAAATTGTTTTTCCAAATTTCCAAAACTCACCTCAAACTTGCAATTGCTCATCTGATGACGTTTTAGGCCAAACTTATGGCTAAATCGAGCATGGCAAACATCACATTCTGGCATTATCTGCCCCGGTTTTTGATGAGCAATCTGAGCAAAAAACATGACCACAGGGACCCAGGGACCCAGGGACCCAGGGACCCAGGGACCCAGGGACCCAGGGACCCAGGGACCCAGGGACCCAGGGACCCAGGGACCCAGGGACCCAGGGACCCAGGGACCCAGGGACCCAGGGACCCAGGGACCCAGGGACCCAGGGACCCAGGGACCCAGGGACCCAGGGACCCATGGACCCAGGGACCCAGGGACCCATGGACCCAGGGACCCAGGGACCACCAGGGAAAAATATTCCGGACCTACCGTATGCCTTTTCAACCTTTTCTGATCGTCGGTTTTGTAATTACAGTATGAACATTTATAAAATGGGACATGTTGCTTTTTAACTGGTGGTGCTGGTGGCTCTGGAGTTTTCTGTTTTTTCTGAAAACTCGAAAATTTTGAGTTTGAAAAAAATCAATTGAAAACATTACCTCAATTTTTTTGACTTTCATGGTACGGAAAAGATCTTCTTCCTCAGTTTCGTCTTTTGGCATCTGAATTTGGAATTTCAGATTTTTGGAGATCTGAAAAAAAAAAGATTTTTAGAAATTTTCGAAATTTCCAGAAATACTGAAAATTTGCAAACAAAAAAGAACTTTCTAGAAATCTTGGAATTACTGCATGTGATTTTCCGAATTTCCGAGTTTCTAGGAATTTTGGGATTTTAAAAAATATCCGTTTTTCTGAATTTTTGGAATTTCCGATTTTTTTAGAATGTTAGAATTTTAGAGATTTAGAATTTCAGATTTTCAAAGCTCCAGAGTTCCAGAATCTCGGAATTTCCGAATTCCAGAATTTAAAAGTTTCCGAATTTCAGAAATTCAAGATTTTTCAAAGTTAAGGATTTCTGATTTTTGAAATTTTTAGGCATTTTTTGGATTTTTGAAATATTCGATTTTTAGAATATCCGAAAATTCCAAAACGTTCTTAAAAAGCTCCAAAGTCAATCAAAAAAGAGAAATACTGAATTTTTAAAATTTCGGAACTCTTCTTATAAATTCCAAGAATCCCAAAAAAAATTCCAAAATCCAAAAAAAAACTTTAAACCCACTGTGAGCTGCTTTTGGTCATTTATAGTTTTTGACGCCAAAAATTCAAAATCCTAAAAAAGTTCAAAATTTCTAAAATTATGTAAAACTGCCTGAAACTACTTTTTTTTGGATTCATCATGAAATTCCCAACGATTTGAGCCCCATATCGACCATAATTGGTCAACTTTCATTTTCGACCGTTTCGACCGCCGCCGTGTGGTCGAAAATCAAACTATTCTAATTATGGTCAATATGGGGCTCAAAATGTCAGAAATTTGATGAAAAGTTGAAAAATAACGTTTTCCGCTAATTAATACTCGGTATGAATTTGGGAATTTATGATTTTGGCGCCAAAATCCCAATTTCAAAAAACCTCATTTTTTTCTCAAAAAATGATCAAACTGTCTGAAACTATATTTTAGAAATCATCAGAAAATTTCTAGCCCCATATCGACCATACTAGGTAAACTTTCAGTTTCGACCGTTTCGACCGCCGGGTTTGGTCGAAAACCAAACTAGTCCAATTATGGTCAATATGGCTCAAAATGTTAGAAATTTGATGAAGACTTCAAAAATAACGTTTTCCGCTAATTTAAATTTGATTCAAGCTGAATTTAGGCATTTGTGATTTAAAAAAAACGAGAATTTGAAAATTAATAAAATTTTCTCAAAAAATGCTCAAACTGCATGAAACTATTTTTTTTGCGTTTATCATGAAAATCTGAACGTTTTGAGCCCCATTTCGACAATGTTTGGTAAATTTTAATTTTCGACCGCTTCGACCGCCGGGTTTGGTCGAAAATCAAACTAGTCCGAGTGTGGTCAATACGGGGCTCAAAATGACAGAATCTAAAATTCAAAAAAAAAGAGGAATCTCTAAAAATCTAAGAACCTCAAAAATTAGGCAAAAAAACCATATGGTCTAAAATCTTCCAAAAATGTTCCAAACTTAATTAAAATAAAATCGTTTTTTTTTCTAGTTTTTTGAAAAATTTGAGTCAAACCAATTTCTAAAATCCTTTAAAAAGACTCCAAATTGAACCAAAAAAAGCAGAAAATCCTTGGAAAGTGGGATTGAAAAAGAAAGTCGAATGCTCTTTATGTGCTCACCGAGCACATAATTAAGGAGGCGAGTATTCGATTTTTTCCATTCCTTTTTCATCTTCTTCTTCTTTCGAAAAATGCACAGAGCGTCTCTTTTGTCTTGTGCTCTTTTTCTCTCTTTTTCTCTTTTTCCTTGGGATTTCTCTGCGTCTCTCACACTCACTCACTCTCTCCTTCTTCTTCTTCTTCTTCTCCATAGTCAAATTAGTACATACATGAAATATACCTCTTTTTTCCTTCTCTTTTTCTTCTTCTTCTTCTTCTTTTTTCTGACTTTTTGGAAGAAGAAAAAAGAGAAAGAAAGGGGGAAAAGAGACGAAAAATTCGAAAAATTTGGATTTTTCGGAAATTATGACTTGAAAATCAAAAAATTGGGAATTTCAGATATCCTTGAATTTCCAAAAAACACAGCAATTCCTGAAATTTAGAAAATCAAAGTACTAGATACTTTAAAAAATTTGAGTTTCTGAAATTTTGAAACTGAGGAAAAAACAGAAAATTGGATTTTTGAACTACCTGACTTCTGGAAAATTTCATCATTTTTCTCAAAAAAGTGATCAAACTGTCTGAAAACGTTATTTTGGAGTTCATCACGAAATTCCCGACGTTTTAAGCTTCATTTCGACCGGTTTTGGCCAATTTTCATTTTCGACCGTGTCGACCGCCGTCATCTGGTCGAAAACCAAACTAGTCCAAATATAGCCAAGATGGGGTGCAAAATGTCAGAAATTTGATGAAAAATTCAAAAATAACGCTTTCCCCTACTTTGAACCCGATTCGGGCCCAATATGATCATTTATGATTTCTGGCGCCAAAATCCGAAATTCAAAAAACTTTCAAATTTTCTCCAGAGATGATCCAAACTGATTTAAATTATCATTTTTGAGTTTTTCATCAGATTTCCAACAATTTGAGCCCAATATCGACTATATTTGGTCAACTTTCGTTTTCGACCGCTCGACCGCGGTCGAAAATCAAACTTAACCAAATATAGTCAATGTGGGGTGCAAAATATCAAAAATTTGATAGGAAATTCAAAAATATCATTTTCCAATCGTTTTGACCGACCTACATTGGTACTTTGGGTAAAATATGTGTTGGAAAGTCATCAAAAAAGTCGCATCATGTTTTTCTCTCTTTTTTCTCTGCGTCTCTTACTCTTTTCTATTTTGTTTTAGACTATAAACTAGTGACTCCAAACACCCTCCTTTTCGTCATTTTTCCCTTTTTTCTCTCCTAAAATCTTTTAGGAAAATGACACTTAATCCTGACACCCCAACCCTATTTTGGAGATTTATTTGTGTTGGTCTTCCTGAATTTCAAAATCCTAGAATCAAAAATTCAGAAATTAAGAAATTCAGAAATTGAGAAATTCAGAAATTGAGAAATCCAGAAATTCAGAAATTCAGAAATTCAGAAATTCAGAAATTCAGAAATTCAGAAATTCAGAAATTCAGAAATGCGAAAATTAAGAAATTCGAAAATTCAGAAATTCGAAACTTCAGAAATTCAGAAATTCAAAAATTCAGAAATTCAGAAATTCAGAAATTCAGAAATTCAAAAATTCAGAAATTCGGAAATTCAGAAATTCAGAAATTCAGAAATTCAGAAATTCAGAAATTCAGAAATTCCGAAATTCAGAAATTCAGAAATTCAGAAATTCAGAAATTCAGAAATTCAGAAATTCAGAAATTCAGAAATTCTAAAATTCGGATATTCGGAAATTCAGAAATTCGAAAATTCAGAAATTCAGAAATTCAGAAATTCAGAAATTCAGAAATTCAGAAATTCAGAAATTCAGAAATTCGAAAATTAAGAAATTCGAAAATTCAGAAATTCGAAACATCAGAAATTCAGAAATTCAGAAATTCAGAAATTCAGAAATTCTAAAATTCGGATATTCGGAAATTCAGAAATTCGAAAATTCAGAAATTCAGAAATTCAGAAATTCAGAAATTCAGAAATTCAGAAATTCAGAAATTCAGAAATTCAGAAATTCAGAAATTCAGAAATTCAGAAATTCAGAAATTCAGAAATTCAGAAATTCAGAAATTCAGAAATTCAGAAATTCAGAAATTCAGAAATTCAGAAATTCAGAAATTCAGAAATTCAGAAATTCAGAAATTCAGAAATTCAGAAATTCAGAAATTCAGAAATTCAGAAATTCAGAAATTCAGAAATTCAGAAATTCAGAAATTCGAAAATTAGAAAATTCAGAAATTCAGAAATTCAGAAATTCAGAAATTCAGAAATTCGGAAATTCAGAAATTCAGAAATTCAGAAATTCAGAAATTCAGAAATTCAGAAATTCAGAAATTCAGAAATTCAGAAATTCAGGAATTCAGAAATTCAGAAATTCTAAAATTCGGATATTCGGAAATTCAGA